TGAGTGAGAATAATATGTGCCAAGCTTGAGCAAGGTGGCATGCGACCACAATCCCCGGCGCCCTGAACTGATGTTATGTCGGTGTTCAACCGACATGGAGCTCCTGCTGGTGAAATCCTCCGAAGGGGACTAGTAATGTTCCATCTGCTGCACGAGGGTCGAGCATACTGACGTTCGGTCCGCCCTGGTTGGTTGGCCTCCGAATTAGGGCCGAAAGACTTCCTAGCCAGTCCCCTTGACCACGCTGCAGGGTGTTCGGCTCCCCGGACTAAACAGAGCCAGCCAGAGGTGCACGTGCGGCCCTCGACTGCCTCTGACGCCCCGCTTGGGGTTGCGGTGCCAAGCCGCTGGGAAGCCTTAGTGCCTGCGGAGCTGAGATCCCTGGCTGGAGATATCTACTACTATACTATAATTTCGTTACATCATAGTTAGTCGAGCAATTATTGTTGTCTTACCTTCCCCCTGTCTCCGCACATGAATGAAAAAGTGGTATGCCGGCATTCGGACGGATCTCGATTCCATCTCCCCACTTGCTAAGGTTTTGGCGTACCACACTCCCAACAATATCGGACGATGGCACCTTGGTCTTGGTCTTGGCCTTGGCCTTGGATTAGGAACAATCCTGCTGTCGACGGTCATTCACTATCCAGTAGTTATTCCCAGTCAGAGCCAAGAAAGGGCAGACTGTCATCGAATAGGAACATCCGCCTTGGCCGCGTGCTTCTCTCAACCCTCACTCTGTAGTCGCTTGGTGAAGCGTTGTCGTGTATCTGGGTGGATACGCTCTTCACTGCCAGGGTACCGAGTCGTTTGCGCCGTCAGCCCATGGAAAGGGCACATGGCCTCGCGTGCTGCTGCTTACCTTGCTGCCTGCTATTCTAGTTGTAGTACCAACGCCCGCTCTTCTCCTCTCCCCTGGCAGTATAAGAAGTCGCAACCCGCTCATTTCTCACTGGAAGTTGTCTCTCTCGTAGTTGACTGCTGATCATCCTCCTCATCTGTCGCTTCTCACCTGACGATTGCCAGCTTACTACCGTCAGAGAAAGTCATCTCACGATGAAGACTACTGTCGCTTTTCTGTTGGCGGCAGCCTCGGTGGCATATGCCCAGGTTACCAATGTGTCGGAGCCTTCCATATCTTCAATTGAGAAGGATGCTGCCACCATCAAGCCGTACTCGCCGGTGTCGAACGTTCAGGGACTTGCCTTCAACCGCTTCTTTCAGGTTTGGCTTGAGAACATCGTATGTGCCAGACTTTCGATCACTTTGGGGTGTACTCTTCTCTGACTTGTCATCTTATCCAGGACTATACGGATGCGGCCGCCGACGAGAATATGAAGTGGCTCGCCTCCCAGGGTATCACACTGTAAGTCTTAGGCCCAGTAAATGAGACCACCCAGAGTGAAGCAGATATTGAACGCTTCATAGGACCAACTTCCACGCCGTCACTCATCCTTCTGAGCCGAACTACTGCGCCTCCGCCGCTGGAGACACCTTCGGCATGGACAACGATGATTTCATTCAGATTCCCGCCAACGTGTCAACCATTGCCGATTTGTTCGACACCAAGGGCATTTCTTGGGGAGAGTATCAGGAGCACCAGCCCTACCCCGGTTTCCAGGGATTCAACTACTCCAACCAGAAGACTTACGACCCCGACTATGTTCGTAAGCACAACCCTCTCGTCCTGTTCAACTCCATCGCCGAGAACAGTACTCGGTTGCGCCAGATTAAGAACTTTACCAGCTTTGAGGACGACTTGGCCAGCCACAAGCTTCCTCAGTACGGCTTCGTTACTCCCAACATGACTAACGATGCGCACGACACCAACATCACATTTGGTGCGAAGTGGGAGCGCACCTGGGTTACTCCCTTGCTCAACAACTCCTACTTTATGAATGATACACTGCTTCTTCTGACTTTTGACGAGGACGAGACTTACGCTAAGCACAACAAAATCTTCAGCATTTTAGTTGGTGGTGTCATTCCTGATCACCTGAAGGGTACCACGGATGATACCTTCTACACCCACTACTCTGTCATCGCTTCCCTCTCCGCGAACTGGGGCTTGCCTTCTCTTGGACGCTGGGACTGCGGTGCTAACATCTTGGAGATTGTTGCGAACAAGACTGGCTATGTCAATTATAACGTTGACACCACCAACTTGCATGTCAACGAGACCTATCCCGGCCCGTTGTCTGCTGGCATTTATTCCAAGTACTCTTCTGTTTGGCCCAACCCCTTGACCAACGCCACCTGCTCCGCCGGTCATGGCATTTTGGACATTGTGAAGGAGACCTACGCCAACACTCAACCTACCTACAACTACACCAGCCCCTACCCCTATGACACCAAATCCGGCTACAACATCAATGTCACAGCGACCAAGAAGTCGACTACCTCCAGCACTAACTCCACCTCTTCTTCCTCTTCCCCTAGTCCTTCCACCAACGCCGGTATCTCCCTTGTGTCACCCAGCACTGGTCTGTCCGGTCTCGTCATGGGACTGATGCTCAGTTTGTTGTGAGGGTGATCTGCACTCGAGCTTGGGCTTAATTGTAAAGCGCCAGTTGCATTTGCAAATAGAACTGGGGCATAGGCGATATGAAGTAGGACAGAATCATGCAGAAGAGCGGCTTTAATGTATTTTATGAATGGTAATGACACTCACGAAATGAGAATTCAAAGCTCCGCTAATGGAGAACAGCACTGAATAGTTCAATAAATTCTTGATATTCTCCTTCCCGCAGAAGAAGCCGGTATTCGTAAATGCTTACAAAACATGTGACTGCGCAGTATGTCATCAAGGTAGTCAATTTGTTTCGAGTAGAGTTAGTGCAGCTAGTACAACTGGTTACGCGCAACGGCAACGCCAACCCTAAGTTGAAGAAAACAACATGCTATCTAACCACCAGCTATCAAGATCCTGCCTGGATCAAGATAGCTTTGGTCTCAAGATAACCATCCATGCTATGCAGAAAGCTCTCACGGCCCATTCCACTTCCCTTAAAGCCACCGAAGGGTATATCTTTCGGCATACAAGGACTCGTGCAATTCACACCGACAGTACCGGCCTCCAGCAGCTTCGACACTCGCACAGCCCGGTCAATATCCCTCGTGAAGACAGCCGCATACAAGCCGTACTCACTATCATTGGCTTTGGCGAGTACCTCTTCCTCCGTCCGGAATGTGTTGATGACAACTACAGGCCCGAAGATCTCCTCTTTCATAATCTGCGCATCCTCTGGAGCATTCTCGAACACCGTTGGCTTGATAAAATACCCATTCTTGGCATCACCTCCGAGTGTCAGTTCACCATCCTTCTCTCCAGCGAGTAAGTATGATTTGACTCGCTCATACTGTACCTGATCGACCTGTGGACCAAGGGTAGTCTCCTTGTCTAGAGGGTCTCCCAGAACCGCGGCTCCGAACATGCTTTTAAATGAACCCAGAAACTTGTCTGCCACAGACTCGTGTACGTAGATACGCGAGTTAGCATTGCAAGTCTGTCCACTAAAGATCTGGATACTGAATGAAGTCTGTGCTGCAGCAGATTCAAGGTCTGCATCGGGGAAGATAATGGCGGGTGTCTTGCCTCCCAATTCCGCATGCACTGTCTTCATGTTGGACAAAGCAGCATATGACTGGATCTTTCTCCCCGTCAATGTTGAGCCTGTGAAGCTGAGACAGCGCACTTCCATGTGTGAGGCTAGAATAGCACCGGTGGTTGGACCATAGCCAGAAAGCACATTGACCACACCTGGCGGGAAGCCAGCCTCAGCGATCAGTTTTGCTCCAAAAGCACACTGCTGAGTGTTAATTCTGCCAGTGAAAGGAGTCTTGGGATATTTGGTGAGATTGACTCACGGTAAGGGGAGCTTTCTCACTACTCTTCAGGACTATGGTGTTCCCAGCTGCCAACGCAGGAGCAATTTTGATGCCGAAGAAGGCGAACGGGACATTCCAAGGTATAATAGCAGCTACCACACCATATGGCTCCTTAGATGTTATGTTGAGCTGGCCGGGAGTATTCCAGCTAGATGACCCTTGGACGGTCCAGCCCGCTTCAGCAAAGTAGGAGAATGCATCAGCTGCAACGCTCGCATCGATGTAGCGGGACATTGGCTTCCCGGAAGACAATGCCTCTAAGCGGGCGAACTCTTGTTCGTGCTCACGGATGAGGGAGGCTAGTTTATGAAAGTATTTGCCTCTCTGGGTAGGTGAGAGATCCCTCCACGCAGGGAATGCGGCTTTCGCGCCTGCAACGGCATCGTTCACGTCGGCTTTATTTGCTTCGTGGACTAACAGTGTGTAAGTTCTGCTGGACTTTGATATAGCCTTGCTAACATACCATCCGCAGCTAGCTCTTGAGTAAAGGGATTGATCACAGGAAAAGTTTTGTCATCTGACGAGGGTCGAAACTATTATTTGAAACTGCAATGAGTACGGAAACAACCATTTGCAGGACATCGACCCTACCTCGCCGTTGATGAAAAGCCGCGTCTCGATTGGAGTCTGGGTATCATCAATCATCATGAAGTGATGGTGTCGACTAGGAAAGCACAATTACACCCTAGCAGAATCTAGCACAATGACTTCAGTATGTTCGAAAAATCAATCATTATATGCATGTCATAGCCATGCTGGCAGTAGAGTTTACTCATTCTAATACCAAATGTAACCAAGTTAGCTTGGCTGTTGACGCGTACAGGGCTCTGAAAGCAGGTCATCTACACATATAGCATGGAAGCAACCTGCGTCTCAAGGAACTTCACGTGAATATTGCTATGTATCTGGAGAAATGGGCAATCAAGCCCTACCGTTGTCGAGGTGGCATACAATGTCCCAGGTAACTTTTCTCAACTTCCTGGTACGAAAACGCCACCCCCGATCAACTCGGACAACACTACTATTGATTATCTGGAAAAGCAAGGCTAAACAAGGCAATCCAAGTTGCTTTTGATATCTCATAAAGGATTTCATTATATCATACATAGCGTGTTTATGGAGCCAGTCCCTCACGCTTCAAATCCTGGATACCCAAAGTATCCTGATCACCAGGGCGACGCTCAGACTCCAGCTTCACCTTGTCCTCAGGGCCACCAGGGCCGTTGAATTGTCCAGCCTTTGCGAGTCTGGAAAGCCAACTCATATTAGTACAACCCATACTTGATGGATGACACTGTGTGGGTGACAGAAGACTCACCGGCCGCGATCATCACGACTGCCTCCCTCCTCTTCTGGGATGGGCTTGCGGTCGCTGCCGGAAGCGCCTGCTTCTCTGCCAGTACGAATGCCTGTCTCGAACTTCCTGTCCACCATCTCGTTCACTCCAGACTCAAGGGCTGCAATTGTTCAGTACAAGGTTGTCGCAAAGGGTGGTGTGTGATCTCTAGACGATAGACATACTGGAATCGCTTTTAGGACCAAGGCCCTGCTTGGCCTGGTAGGAGTTGAGGTCCTTTTCGGCATCGTAAGCAATGCGAACCTTGTCGTAGTCGCTCATTGTGGTAGTGATAGTAGAGTTTGTTTTTGAGTGCTTAACAAGAGACTTGATAGAGTTTCTTCAATGGTGAGCGCTACAGAGTAAGTAGCAACAAATAGTCCGAACTATATATGTGCCATCTTCAGTGTCTTCGTCGTCAGGGACACTATGAGTATTGCATCATCCTACATCATAGATATGTAACGAGCAGTGCAGGAGTCTCCAGTCGAACCCCATTTCTTACTGCTGGAACCTGGTCTCGACATCCAACCCAAAGAGGTGCCCAGTTGGGATATGATATCATCACCCCCGTTACATCAAACCTCAGGCTCTACCCTTAAATCCAGCCCTAAGTAGTCATGTTCGATCGGGACTAGCTGCCAGGGTCCGGCCCTAGGGTTTTTCGGAAAGGAACAACCATGACCCGGACGGTCCCTCCTCGGCGGGGAAACCCGAAGGAGAGAATCCGTGAAGCCCGATGACTGGCGGCGAAGCTTGCCTTGGCCTTCATTGTTGCTTTGCTCCCTTCCCCGTCAAAGGATCCGATTTCGTGTCGACAGCCGGGATTTGAGACACCAAGCCTATATCTCTGTCCCATCTATATATCAAGTGGTCAGAGGCCCTGTTCTGGCCGTTCTTCGGTTTGGATCCAATTACCTTCCGAGCTACTACTTTGTAGTAGTAGTAACATCCCCCCTCCTTGACAGCTTCAAGCTGCCGACAATTATACATCCCATACAATGGCCCCAATCGTCGAGTTGGCTGGGGAGGCCAACCCCCTGACCCCGCATAATGTTCTCAATGCACTGGTTCTTGCAGCTAGCTCAACTCAGCAACAGGTGCAATCGGGCACCCAGCAACTCCAGAATTGGGAGAAGCAGGAGGGTTACTATACTTCGCTTCAGGTATATACCTCAGCTTCCCTCCACCTTGTGCTTTTCTCTACCACTCTATGCTCACGCAGTGCAGGATGTATTTCTGGACCATTCTGTTCCCCCTGAAGTTCGCTACCTCTCCATCATCCAGTTGAAGAACGGCATCGACAAGTATTGGCGAAAGACTGCGACAAAGTATGCGCGTTTTTACCCCCCTCGGATCGATACGTTGTGCAACAACAGACTGACCTCCTCAAGTGCCATCAAAAAGGAAGAAAAAGAACGCATAAAGACTAGGGCCTTACAAGCGGGTGTCGTCGAGCCGGCTCCTCTTCTGGCTCTTCACAATGCGTTGATGATCGCTAAGATCATGCGCTATGAATTTCCTCAGGACTGGTGAGTGCGGACGCGCTGGGAATTTACCTTGCATTGTTATTGATCATGTCTAGGCCGGATGCTATCACCTCACTCATTGCCCTCCTCCGCTCGTCTACCCAGCCTGGCGCGAACCCGTTGCAATTGCCCCGGACCCTTATCATCCTCCTACAAATCATCAAAGAATTGTCAACGGCCCGTCTGCAGAGAACCCGCGCGAATCTACAATCTGTTTCTCCAGAAATTTTCCATCTGTTGGGGAGCATATACGTGGACAAGGTGAACAACTGGGCTATTAACCTGGAACAAGGGGGCTTTGATGAGGCATCGTTGCTAGAGGTGATCGAGCAAAGCTTGGTCTCTCTCAAGGTCATCCGACGTCTCGTTATCGCCGGATATGAACACCCCAATCGCGATAAGGATATCTGTGACTTCTGGGTCCTGACCCATACCCACTTCAGTAGATTCCTGGGATTTATCAATGGCCCCGCCACAATGTCGGAGCCAATCCATAGGGCAGTCGAGAAACACTTGTTGCAACTTTCCAAGCTTCACGTCGAAATGGCCAAGGATCGCCCGGCATCTTTTGCGTTGCTCCCGGACAGTATACCGCTTGTCCAGTCCTACTGGACCCTAGTAGTCAAGTTGGGAGAAAACTACAGTCAATTGGGCGGGGATGGTGAGTCAGAGGGAAAGTCCCTGATGGAGAAGACTGGCCTCAGGGCTCTCCTTCTGATCAGGGCTTGCTCCAAGATGGCCTTCAACCCGGCGCAGACATTTAAGTACCAGACACCGCAAGACAAGGAGGAGAAGAAACAGTCCGTGGAACTCATCAAGGCCCAGCTGTTTACCCATGATTTCGTCGTCAACGTCATGGAGCTTCTCGTCACCCAGTTCTTCCGGTTCAGGAAGAACGACTTCCAGGAGTGGGAGGAAGATCCTGAAGAGTGGGAGAGGAAGGAGGAGGATATTGCCGAGGCCTGGGAATTCTCCATCCGGTCGTGCTCCGAGAAGCTCTTCCTTGACCTCGTCATCCATTTCAAGGAGTTGCTCATTCCGCGTCTTTTGACCGTCTTCTACAACTTCGCAAGTAAGCAACCTCCACCGAGCCATTCCAGAAGCATATCACTAACGATCTCAATAGGCCCTGATAATCACGACGTCCTGTTGAAGGATTCCTTGTACGCCGCCATTGGCCTGTCTGCAGCCAGTCTGGAGCAACATTTGGACTTCAACAAGTTTCTTGAGACGACACTTGTGCCCGAAGTCCAAATCCAAGAGCAGGGATACAATGTCCTCCGGAGACGTATAGCCATCGTCTTGGGCCAGTGGGTCCCCGTAAAGTCCAGTGAGCTCAACAGGAACGCCATCTACCAGATCTTCCAGCATCTTCTCAGCAAGCAAGACCCGTTGAACGACCTGGTGGTCCGCATTACCGCCGGACGGCAGCTCAAGAACGTGCTCGACCCCTTCGAGTTCTCCCCTACTGAGTTCCTGCCGTATGCACCGGCCATCCTGCAAGACCTAATGTCTCTTGTCCAAGAAGTCGAACTTTCAGAGACCAAGATGGGACTTCTCGACACAGTCCGAATGGCAGTTGTGAAGATGGAAGACCACGTAAGTGCCATCCTCACCTTACCTGCTCCACACCTCTAACAACCGAGTAGATCGCACCCTTCTCGGACCAAATCTTGTCCTTACTGCCCCCGCTATGGGAGAGCTCCGGCGAGGAGCATCTGATGAAGCAAGCCATCCTAACGCTGCTTTCATCCCTAATCCACTCCCTCAAGCAGGAATCCGTCAGATACCACTCCCTGATTCTGCCTCTCATCCAGAACTCCGTCGAACCAGGCTCTGTAAGCATCCCCCCTTCCCCCTCCAATCCATCCCTCACCCAACCCATCTAACCGCCGCACCCCAGGAAACCCTCATCTACCTCCTTGACGAAGCCCTCGACCTCTGGTCCGCCATCCTAATGCAAACGCCGGCCCCCGCCTCCCCCGAAATCCTCTCGCTGATCCCAGCCCTCTTCCCCATCTTCGAAGCCGCGACCGACAGCGTCCCCCAGGCGCTCCAAATCGCCGAATCCTACATCCTGCTCGCCCCACAAGAAATCCTCAGCGACCGCATCCGCTTCCCCCTCCTCGTCTCCTTCGAAACCCTCCTAAAACTCACCACCAAGCAACGCCTCGGCGTCGTCCCCCGCCTCGTCGAACTTCTCCTCCGCGGCGCCAACACCGTCGACAACGGCAGCGAAACCACCTACAGCATCATCACACGCTCCCTCCTCGACAGCTCCTTCCTGCCCGCCCTGCTCGAAGGCCTCCACTCCGCCCACGAAGCCAGCCAAACCACCGGCCCGAACCGCAAACAAACCTCCGTCTACGGCGTCGTCGAAACAGACTACTTCTCCGTCCTGGCGCGTCTCGCCCTCGCCTACCCCAAGATCTTCACGTCCGCCGTCTCCGCCGCCACCAACAGTCCCGAGGAATCCGTCCTCTCATGGCTCCTCACAGAATGGTTCCTCCACTACGATAACATCGGCAGCTCCACCCAGAAGAAACTCCACGCTCTGGCCCTCACTCAACTCCTTACCATCAACGGACCGGACTCTCAGCCCCCGTCTTATCTTCTCAATAACCTCCAGTCCTATCTAACCATGTGGACCGACATCGTCACTGAACTCGCCGAAGGCGCACACGATGGTAGTGGGGGTAATACTGATGATCCTCGTGGGGGTAGTGATTACTTGATCTACTGGAATAATGCCCAGACGGGGGCTGTTGATGAGCATGAGCCGCCGGAGAATGTGCGGCGTAGGGAATGGGATAACGAGGATGTGCTGCATAAGGTCAATATTCGAGACTTTATTCGGGAGAGATTGCATTCGTTGATTGTCGGGTGTGGTGGGGAGCAGAGGTTCCAGGAGGAGTGGTTGCTTAATGTTGATCGGGAGGTGGTTGCGTCGTTTGGGGCTTTGGGGTTGTTGTAGATCTGGAATTACGTTGAGATTTGTGGATGGTAGGAAGGGTTGGAAGGGAGAGAGTGGTGACTTGACATTTGTGTTCGCCCGTGTGTCATATCGTCTACTGGACAGTAACTTGCATCTTTATGGGATAGCATACTCTACATAGTTGAATACCCCTTACATAGATAGTAGCTCTGACTTCAGAGCTGAGCAATGAAATTATCATGCGAGTCTGACTTTAGTAAGTAGTGTAGAGGAAAAGGTAACCATAATAATAAGGAATGCAAGACTCAGTAAACATCAGTACCAGACGGGTTAAGCCCATTTATGAATCACGACGAATATGAAAGAATGACCAAGGATATCTTAGAGTAGAATCCAAACGTTCAAATACCAAGTTGACCGTTCAAGAACACTGGTGGGGGTATTGTCTATCAGTAGGCGAGGTAGGGAAGAGTTGGTTAGCCAGAAGGTCTTGCATGTCCCATCCTGGGGCACCCTCGGTCTTCCAGGTCCAGAAGAGCCATCCGCTCTTCATCTCGTAAGCCTCCAGCTGAGCCTCAATGTAACGACGGGTGTTCGCTTTCTCTTCAGCTGAGAAATCAGCTACAGAACCCGTGCTCTTGCCCGTGCAGTCACCGTACTTGGTGGTGGACATGTACGTGCCATCGTAGCGAGCGGCATTACCAACGCCGTTGAGATATTTGGCACAGTCAGTCAGAGCACCGGTCCATTCACCCACGACGACGGGCTTATCTGATTGCATCGTGTGCTGTGTGGCGAGAGAACACGCCGTTTTGACATGGTCATCGATGCTCATAGAAAGCAAACCGGTGTCAAATACTTGATAGTGATGCGTATCCATGGCAACATTGCTACCCTGCATGAAGCCGTTCCAGGACTCTACAGGCTGAAAGCCGTCCGACATGAATAAGGTAGTAGAGGGGTTGAGACGCTGGACATCGGCCAAAGCGCTGTAATAGTAGTTCTTGAGGCCACCCTCGTCTACGCCACCAGGAATGTTGGGTTCGTTGATGGCCTCGATCGCTGTGACGGTATCGGACTGAGCGTAACGCCTTGCAAGGGCGTCAAATGCGGTCATAGTCTGGTTGACCGTGTTCCCTTGCTGCCATTGGATGGGGCCTCGGTGTCCACTATTGTCAAAACCATTCTGAGAGCCCGGCGCTATGTTTCTGTCAGCAACCCAGAAATGAATTGCGCATGAAATCTCACAGCTTACCACCATGCAGATCAACGACAACCTTGAGACCAGCAGCTCTAGCCCAGGTGACCGCCTGGTCGAGATAGTCGATCTGACCGCTGACATATGGCTCACCATCAATGGGAGCAACGGCCCAGTATCCAATAGGGATGCGGACATGATTCAGTCCTGCCTGAGCCATACGATCAAAATCACTTTGCGTGACGAACGAGCTCCAGTGAGACGACAATTTGGCCTTAGCTTCGTCCTGGCCCAGCGTCTGACACAGGGTCCATTCATCTACCGCGCCACCCCCAGTACTGTCATAAAGTGAAGGTGTAATCCATGGCTCGGTCACCAGCCAGCCACCTAGATTGACACCTCGGACTATCTGACTCTTGTAATCGAAAGAGCTTGCGTTGTTTTGCCGGCGCCTATACTCAACAGTAAGTCAACGACCACAAACAGAAGGGAGAAGCTGGACATATCCGGCACGACTCACACTCGCGGCACAGCTTGTGCACTAGCAGCCAAAAGAGACAACGCCAAAAGCGCCTTCTTTACACCTTCCACAAACATATTGAGACACGGTTCGGATGAAGAATCAGCGAAAATTATCAGAAGGCTGGGATAGGATAATGCCGTCTATGGGAAGCCAGCACCGGATAGGATGGAATTCGCCTGCTTTAAGTAGAGGAGGCTGAACACGCTGGCTGCCAATCGACCGCAAGCAAACGACAAGCCGTCTCTCAGATCTGGATCGCCAAATGATCTGCAGAAATCTTAATATCAACTGGTCTGTTTGCAGATGCCGATCTCCAAGTCAACCACGATCTCCGCACTTGATCGTGAGATGAGACCCACCGAAAGCAGATGCACGACAAAGCGGTGCTCGTAAGGATAGTAGATAAGGTTGAGGGAGAATGATCCACAATAGAAAATGTGGAGAACAGGTTGTCTCTACTTTCCCGTGTCGTCGACAATGTTACAGCACCGCAATGACAACAGAAAGCTGTCTAGACTTAGCCCTGAAGTAAGACTTATTGATGTGTTGGATATCGATTCAGGCCGGCTGCATGGAAATACAGGATACGTGGACTTAGGCGCTAGTGAAGTCACTCTGACAGTGCAATAGATTTGAAGAATATAAACAGTGGAAAGGAGGAGAGAAACTGAGCACTGGTGATATAAGAGTGAGCCGGACACTCGCAGTCAAGATTTGCTAGGTCCTTACCCATCTATGGTTTGGATGGGAGGACTCTACCACTCAATTCGCGTGGTGGAGGAAGGAACGGCCCAGCCAAGACTCGTTCTCAAGGCACAGATGCGGCATTTGCATCGTTTTGGGCATTTACAGCCACTGTCGGCCAGGGGAGGCAAGGTAGAGAGACTCTGCCGCGGTGTAACATCTTCACCAATAACCCAGCTAATAGGTGCAGTAGCCTTACATGTAGCCAGGGGTCAATGCAACTGCTATGCAGTGCGCATGACCTGCGGTATCATCGTCAAGAGCAACCATCGTCGTCTTCATCCGCATGGAGCTGTTCGATGTCTATTGTTGCGTACTATTCTGGGGGTGGGTAACATCTCCGCGTGAGCAACGTGGCAAGTCATTGTGTGATGCTCGATCCGGCGAGTATCCAGAGGAAGAGGATACAGATCCGGAAGGCAATTACCAGAGGATAGCGCCGAGCCAAGACGAGGAAAGTAAGTATCGAAGGAAAGGAATGAAGAGGGAAAGGTTAAAAGCCCAAGAGCAAGTAGAAGAACTAGAACATGGCGGGGACGGATCCGGTGACACCCCATCACGTGGCCCCCTTCCAAGCTGGAACTTTGCTCCCCGCGCATCCAAGTTGAATCTGGAATCCGAAACAAGTTGCGTCTTCATCATTACGACGCATAGATCTCCCCAATTGGACCATGGTACGAGATCAGGAGTTCAAACGAGTGACCGGCTCATCACCCTGCCAAGGAACTTACTTCAACCTCCTTCCCAGGCACGCCCCAGGAGTTCGCGTCAGGCAACAGCAATTAAATGACTAACAGCTTTCCCTTGGTTAACTATTCCTCCAGACTCCATACCTCAGCCGCAGTGGATTCCAACGGTCGATAGTGTCTTGAAGTGGACGAACACCTGAATAATTAGGGGTGAATCATCCTCCATCCTTTCATACTCTACCACCAATCGAATCAATATGGGGACTGTGATTATATTTCAGGGGAACTATGGCCCCCCAAAGACCCAATGCCCACTTCTATACTAAATGGTGGAATCCAGTCCTATCATCTAGAAGCCCTGTTTAACAAGCCTTCTGGACAAATCATGAGCTCGAGTCAACTTCATTGGACTCGGATAAAGAACTCAAAGCGCTTTTTTTCTCCTTCGAGGCTAGGGGGCGGATACTAATGCGGAGAATTGCCCGGTTGACGTATGCGGCTGGGGACCAGGCCGAGCCACTTATGGAGCAAGTAATGCTGCTAGTTATACGGAAGAGAACGGAGGAATAGAGAGCCACCACATCTGAGAAATGCCCTTGCCCCTGAGCATGGTGACGATGAACAACCCAACTGCCGACGCTAAGTCGGCTCAGAGATCCGGACCGCCTCGCCGCCATCCCGTCTAGTGTGGCCTTGTTTGTGCCAACTTGGTTGGCGAATACTCCTTTGCCATATTCAGATGGACATTACTTACCGGCTCCCCGAACAGGGCGGCGGATGAGACTTCTGCCTACGCAGGTCAAGGTTGAGCACATGGACCATGTGGTTGAGGAGGCTGTGGTAGGACCTCACAAACTTTCGGGTTGAAGCTTCATGTCTCGTTTTACCCACCCTTCCGCTCTCGAATTAGTTAGATTATGTGACTGCTTGCTGTTGCTCTCCTTAACCCTCGAATACCGTAGATGCCATTACTAAAAGCTCAGATCCAAGTCTCTCGGAACTCGGAACCACGCATTGGAGACCCATAGTAACATAACCCCTACGTACGACTGCTACTCCGCTTCTGCTATCAGTCGGACCATCAAGACAATGGCAAAACATGCCTAACGGTGGTTTCAGAAATGCCGATCGTGGCGACAGCGGCGCTTTCATCTGTAGTCACGAGTACGTATCAACAAAAGAAAGAGCGGTGACCGTACCTGTCAGTGCGCACGCGAGTAGCAACTCTTTTCTCCGGTACCGACGCTCCTGTAATATGTGCCTGTAGATCAGATCCGTGATTTCGCATACGTTTCACCTAGCCCAGGACCAAGGACAGTAGGTGGACTGGGATGGCAGAGCAAGAAATCATTGGAGGCGGACCCCTAATGGAAGGCAAATGGAAAAGAGTCCGACGTTCTTTGTCGAGATCTCTGGTTTGGATCTAGCGAACGGAACTGTTGCTGATCAGCGAATAATGACCATGGATCTTTACTTAAGATGGGCAGTTAACGGTAGGGACTACCACACGGTTCTTGGCGGCCGCCTGCATCTCGGAAGCAATCAACATTCGATGTGCTGATGCGTAGCGTCTAGTGGACTAGGGTCAGATAACCATATTCGGACATCAGGCCTTTGGTGCCCGGCCGAGTCGGCGCAGATGTGACGGGATTTTTCTCCAAATTAGCCATTCCACTTCCAAGGGGAAACAATACCCGTCAGTGGAATCCAGTTGCCGGGTATAACCAGCGTATCGAATTGTGTAGCAGGTATCCATTTGGCGGGTGAACCGACCCATTCGTTTCAACGGCACTGGACCGCAGCGGACCGGAAGTCTGTGAGGCTGGCCTCGAACACACGGGAACCTCCTGCTTCGTATGTTGCCCACGGCCCTGTAGCCATTCAAGGAAGTTGTATTCAAGCGAATGGATGTGAGTACTATGACTACCCACGGTCTGCAAGGAAAAGACCATCCGGAAAGCTTGTAATCTGTGGAGCTGGGAATGATTTGGTTGCCCAAGATGGTTTGCCCACGCGGTCGGCTACTATGGGGCACCATTTCCATTAGCATTACGGACTCCACAGGAAGGGAGGAAGAGAATATTGCCTGCACTGGCAGACACTATTATGGTGTTGGAGCAGAATTAGAGCCATACGCACGCTGAACCAGTGATTGGTCAGGTTGACATCATAGCTTGTAGTGGAGCGTCTCAGGCCAGATGATGGCAAGGTAAGTAGACTAAGATAGGAGGAGGTTGTAAGATTGACTACTACTTCGTACGATCTTCTCAACTGCCGGGTAAGCGAAAGTGCCCAGCGATGATGTGAGGGGTCAGACTCCATCTAAGGATGACGATGACGATAGCATACTGGTGAAGCAGCGATTGCACTCAGAGTGAGGAGGACAACGGAAAGGCAATCCGAGAGTCGTGTGATCCACGGGAGACCTCAGTTGGTTGAGTTTGGATGGAATATGTCTATATGGCCTGATGTTTTAAGGAGAACCCGGTTCGACGCGATCAACTGCAGCACAGCCAATCGGAACAGAGCTTAGTCACCCGCCCCGACAGATCACATCCTCGACACTTTTTGGGCTGGACAGAAGAGAGAGATACCTCACATTAATATACGGGGCAATATATCTGACTTTGGTCGCAAGGAGAGACAGAGTTCTGGTTAATCAAATTGATGCATCGGTTGACCACAGACTCACTCATCTATCTAGACATTCCTTGAAGACGGAGCAGGGGTAGGGGTCACGAGCGAAGATGAAAGTCGCAGTACTCCGTAGTTAACTAGTAGTGAAGATGAGAAATACCACCGCGGTCCATGTTTAGACTCGGTCGCGCATCGGCTCCGACTCGTTTTGAGCCCGGCGGAGAAAGGGTTGGAGCCCAGATGACGACTGAGAGGGCGTTATTCCCGATGTTCTGAGGCGTTTGCCCCTTCTTCCTCTCTTCTTCCCGCCTAAGCGCCCTTACAGGGAAGCATCGAGATTATTTGCAGCCATTCCGATTAGCTGTCCATCAATTAGCGGACCCTCACTGGGTTGTGCCATCGACCTTTGGGCGAGCGTGTCATTCGGCAGCTTCCTTTGCACTAGTAGCATCTTCTCTCCAAAGTCAATTTTCTGGAGCCTTGAATTAGACGACCCTCTTGCTCATCATAATTTTTTTTGATGCATTTTTGCTTTTTTCTGTTCCTCTTTGTTGTGTCGTGGTTACTGAGAAAATCTGTAGGCTGTCAATCAGCTGCGTCGAATTGCCCCACGGCTCCAGACTGTCATGAAGAGTCTGGCCCGACACTGCCGGTTGAGTGGCCTTTTCTTGTTTCTGTCCCGGCCAGAACAGCAGGCTGTGATCAAAGAATTGAAGCAGAAGGTGGTATAATCTCATAGATACTGTGTAAGCGTGTTAGGACGAACAAACTAAAAAGATTAAAATAAGAATAAAAATAAAAACCATCAGCATCAGGTGCACTAAGTCGGTTTAAAGGCCGCATCAGACCACCAAGACTCCTCAAGGCACCAGATACTGACGGCAGGGAATAATATCGCCAAGGTTCGGGATCCCCCGTGGCCGTTGCGCGCTGTCTGGGCTGATGTTGGAACTTGGGTCTCTTTCCTCTCCTAGCCTGAAACCCCGTTGTCTTGCTTTTTTCCCTTGTGCCCACCATCACGATGGGTCCGCTCTTCTCCCTCCCTCCCCCCTTCCCGCGTGGAGGAGGGTCGGATGTCGGACTTGCTTGACTAACATCCATGTGTTGGGTCTCCCATTTGATATCCAGTCCAGTGGCCATGCATCCTTAGCCAACCCTATATAATCGCATGATGTCTCCATGCCTCCCACAAAATCTCAGTCCTCCCATTTTTCCATCTTCGACCTTCCAAGCTTCGATTTGACCCCAGGGGTTCGTGAAAAGCAATCAACCGCCCCTCTCGATCTAACCGAGACATCTTTCTATATTACCTGTTCCTCGAATATCCACTCATACACCCTCCTGCAAAGCCGAGGCTCCCAAAATGGAATTCACTCGCGAGCCCAATCGACCAATGAAGCATGTCGACCGCAAAGCCCTGTACACCCGCCTAGAGGCGCGCATCACGTACCTGCGAGACTTCCTGGACTTCAATTCAAGTTCGTCCACTTGCAACCTCGTTGCCTTCAGTCATCAACTAACCGCATGGGTGTAGGTGACGTCGAGGCATTGGTGGCAGGCTCCAAGTATATCAAGGCCCTGATCCCTGCCGTGGTCAACATCGTTTATAAGAAACTTCTCGAGTCCGACATCACCGCTCGTGCCTTCCACACTAGAGATACCGCCGACGATACCCCAGTTGAGGAGTTCTTCACAGAAGAAAGCCCCCAGATCCAACGTCGCAAGATGTTTTTGCGTTGGTACTTGATTAAGCTGTGTTCCGACCCTTCCCAGATGGAATTCTGGCGGTACTTGAACAAAGTTGGGTATGTCTTCCTATCTCTTAGCCGGTCAGTGTATACAAAGTATCATGTGACACTAACGGTCATAGAATGATGCACACTGCCCAGGAACGTCTGTACTCGCTCAACATCGAATACATCCATATCGGCGCTTGCCTCGGATTTATTCAAGATATCTTCACCGAAGCCCTCATGTCACATCCTCACCTGTCTCTCCCTCGCAAGACCGCCCTGGTTCGCGCCATCAGCAAAATCATCTGGATCCAGAACGACCTCTTCGCCAAGTGGAGAATCAGAGATGGCGAGGAGTATGCCGATGAGATGTCGGAGATAATGGTTGACGAAAAAGAAGGATATCTGGGTGAAAAGAAGATCCTGGGCGATAACAGCAGCACCTCTGCAAGCTCGAGTGAGGATGACCGCTCAAGCATTCACAGTGGCACGGTCCCTACTTCAACCCCGGCATGCCCCTTCGCAGATATGGCGAAGCCGGCGTCGGAAACCAAGATTTGGGCCGGGTCTAACTGAAACAGTCGGTTGTCTGGATGGTAATAGAACGTCACGGATGGTATACAGGTTTAAAGAGCATAGCGGGCGTCAGGCATATGTGTTCCGGGTATCTTGTTTGTTTCCTGGTTTTGTCGTTTCTAAACAAGTCGTTCGTGTCTTGGAGCATGCATGGATGGTGTTGGGGTTCACACAGGCGATATAGTAATTAAAGATATCCAGATTTAGATATTGTGACATCACTTCTCCTGCAGTTCTCGGACAGATCTATCCGCTGCACGTCCATACTCGGTGTCGAGGCTATGCCTCTCCTTACCTCTCTTAGGGTGTCTATAACAGAACAGAACAAAGTATATCAGTCAGAAGGTAATGGACGCTCCCTTCCTACCTCGGCAGTCTAGAATATGATCGGTGTCCCTTTTGAGACTGCGCACAGAGGTCCCCGACTGCTTTTTGTCAGCACCTTAGCTACCAAGTAGACCATCGCTGTCACTCTGGTTTGAATCCCAACCGACCCCGAGTTGAGGCATCTGCCGGAGTGGAGGCCACGAGCCGTGTCTACCAATAAGCAGACAAATTTCTGTTGCGGCAGCTGCGCTAGGGGGCCAAAAACTGACGATCATTGGATTCGTTGAAAGTAAGGCCCACACACTTCTTTGGGACAAACGATCTGGTGTCTCCAACGTTCGCAGCAAGGGAAAAGAGGATGGGACCTGCAGGATCCTAACGCAATCGTCCTGTGGGTGAGAGGACTTTGAAACTCTCAGTTACAACAACGATGTTTGAAGTAGTATACCCAATTCTGTGGGTTGTCCAGCTGCAACTACTAGTGAGGGTGACAGCCGAGGCGGCGCTGACAGGGGGCTAAAGCGTTACAACCGTCAACCTTATCTCCGGGTGGGGGGGAGTGCAGGAAAAAGGAGGAATTCCGCAGTCCGCACGCATGAAGTTGTGAGTCGCGACTTCAACCGTGGGAGAGTGATCCAGGGGGACTATCCACACAATGTGCCATCGGGAAGTCTCCCCCACTCAACAACCGAGTCATGATGACATTTTCCAACAGACGCGCACATCTGCCTGCCAATTAGTATGCAGACATGCAGAAGCTTCCGTAGTCACAGATGAGGGCCCTCCAAACCATGCGCCGGAAGGGCAATATCATTGACAATCTTTGACAATCTTTCGGCTCCATCACGTCGGGAAAAGTCCCGAAAATTGCCCCCTCACTTCTGTGGCTGCAGATGCAAGCAAAACCAGTGTCTGCGACTAACTAGATTATTGGGGTCTCGCGCTGTTCCATTATCGCGCCATTTGTTAGTCTTTGACCCCGTCTGTTTGACCCTTTCCCCTCATTCATTTTTTTTGCCCTGGCTTGTTGGTTCAACTTAACCCCATACCCTCTTGCTCATCTTTTGTCTCTCCACTTCTCTATCTATTTGTTCATCTCACCCTCTTCTCCCTCTCCCTCCCTCTCTCTTGTCCTTTCTAAATCTAATGCCCTATAGACCAACCCCTTCTATCTCCAATTAACCTTCGAAGAAGCCATGATTGCCAAAAATCCTAACGGAAATACCGCGGTTATCCCGCTTCTGATCAACAACGAGTCTTCTGTGACCGAGACGATATTTGACGTCACGAGCCCCGCGACGGGTGAGGTGATTGACCGTTGCGCCGGAGCAACAGTCGATGATGCCAACCGTGCTGTCGCGGCCGCGAAGGCCGCCTTCCCCGGATGGAGCAAGACCAAGCCGTACGACCGCAGGGATATCCTCATTAGGGCCGCGGATATTATGCTCTCCCGGAAAGAAGAATTGATTCGGTATCAGATGGAGGAGACAGGTGCGGGACGTATGTTTGTGGAGAAAACATTCATGCTGGGAGTCGGGTTCCTGAAGGACTTCGCGGCGCGAATCCCGTCTATCGAGGGTACAGTGCCGTCCGTTTCGGAAGATGGAGAGTGCGCAATGGTCATCAAGCAGCCATATGGCGTAGTACTAGGAATTGCGCCTTGGTATATTACCTATCTCCATTTCCACAAGGCATTTGCTCCGCGTCAGTCTCATGGTCGCTAACATTATCACCTCGGTAGGAATGCTCCCTACATCCTTGGAACCCGTGCAGTTGCTCTACCCCTCGCCGTAGGTAATACAACCATTTTGAAGGGATCAGAGCTGTCCCCAAAGTGTTTTTGGGCAATCGGAGACATCTATCGCGAAGCTGGTCTTCCTGCGGGATGTCTCAATGTCCTTTACCACCGTCCCTCGGACGCAGCGGCGGTCACGAACGCCCTCATCGCTCACCCGGCTGTGCGCAAGATCAATTTCACCGGTAGCACCACAGTGGGCTCAATCATTGCGTCCACTGCCGGCAAATATACGAAGCCGGTACTCCTCGAACTGGGAGGCAAAGCCTCGGCCATCGTCTTGGACGATGCCAACCTGGAAAAGGCCGCCATGTGCTGTGCACTGGGATCCTTTATGCATGTAAGAGCTTTGACGTTGGACAGTTTAGCCTGGAATTGCCTGCTGATTCGAACATAGTCCGGACAAATCTGCATGTCGACGGAACGCGTTATAGTACAGCGGTCTATTGCAGACAGGTTCAAGCAAATGATGGCGGAGGCGGTGGAGAAAGTATTTGGCAAGCACGGGCCGGCATTGGTCCTCGTTGCCCCTGCTGCAGTCAAAAAGAACAAGGAGCTGGTAGAGGATGCGCTTGCCAAAGGCGCCAACCTTGTCTATGGCGACACCGCAGCCATTGACCTGAACAACAGCAGCATGCGACCTGTGATCGTTGGAGATGTCGCCAAGAACATGGACATGTACTTCACGGAGTCGTTTGGCCCGACTGTATCCCTCATTGTCGTTGACAGCGAGGAAGACGCTGTGACACTGGCCAATGACACGGAGTACGGCCTTACTTCGGCGGTATTTACGGGTAACCTGTTCCGTGGTCTCAGGGTTGCCAAGCAGATTGAAGCAGGGTAAGTTTATGTTGGTCGAGATCACTCTCCGTCTGATCCGAAAGTGCCATCTGCTGACCCCTTTCGACTATGAATAGAGCTGTACACATAAACTCTCTGACCGTGCACGACGAACCTGTTCTTCCCCATGGCGGCTGGAAGAGCAGCGGATACGGTCGCTTCGGAGGAACCTCCGGTTACGACGAGTGGCTGCAAACCAAGACGATTACTTGGGTAGAATAAGGCAAGAGCGCAGACTGCACCGACTCGTAGCGCTCAACGATCCCTGGTCGGGTTTGTAATTGGAGGCCTTTGGGAAGTTGTCGTCCACTAGGAGGACGAATGAGAGGCCACATGAAGTAGACCGATGCCAATAGTTCGATATTGGGACCATGGCTGGCATTATTACAGCGAAGGGGACTGGACTGGACTGGACTGGACCCTTGATCGAAATACCCACTCAATGCAGGGTTCAGTAAAGCCCAGCAATACGAAGCACATCATCTTATTTGGCTTTTCGTTTTTTTAATTTTTTTAGCGATACCGGGAAGAGCCACTCCCGGTTGCATCCAAGCCTTTCTCAAGTCTGGACCAGTAGTCTTATCACTGCTCGCTGATGGGTGGCGACCGACTGTTACTGTAAATAGAGCGTGTATCCTGGGAGGCTTTGTCAAGCGCCGGAAGTCGTATACTGTGCACGACTGCAAGTACACGGAGGATTGTGTAGAACACTGCATGCACATCTTCGGATAAGTCCAATCCGGGATGCAATTGATCACAATTTCACCGACAGTCTTTGGTGAACGCGTGAACTAAACTAGAAAGCTTCCGCCACCTGTTATATCCACAGCAGATGGATCATGAGCAGTCAGACTGCAGGTCAGGTATTGGAGTCCGAGACATTTGAACTAGTCTCCGACGCCACTGGGAAAATTCCTGCACTCACCCACACGTGGTAAGCGATACGACTACATGCTGTGTGGGCAGCGGAATTTGGCTTCGAGCGGAGATAGCTTGCCAACACGAAGGTCACTGGCAGGCGTGCTCAATGCTCATGGGAAGCCATCCCGTTGTTTTTGTTTGGTTGATCTGCAAGGTACATACTTGCGGGAGTGCTTGTCCCTTGAAGGTTCGCAGTATGACGGGTCATTTTTTATTTTTTCTTGGTACGGAAGACCGAAAGGAAGGCATGTTATCAGTTATCGTGCCTTGTTAGTGGCATTGGCAGTCGGAACGAGGGTCCACTAACCCGGTCAGGAACGAGGAATGAGCGACAGGAACCGGAGAATCTTCACCCAACATAGCCATAGATGACTTCATTGAGGACGTTGATCACCGCTCTTGCGGGACTTGATTGTAGAACGGTCAGTTTGCAGCATGAATGTCTCGTTCCGAACCCCCTTGATAATCTGTTGATCTGCAGCCAGCGGGAGGAAAAAAGGGAGGGACTACGTGGGTAGTAGTAGTAGTAGTAGTAACCTGACTTTTTTGTGTTTCTCCGTAGCAATTTAGGCGACTATCCGATTACACGGGGGTGGGGACACCGGACAGGTTCCTTGGTGCCTTTTGGACTTTAGGAGAGGACACGAGATGGATTGGGTGCCTCTGGTCCCAATATTCGGAAGTGGTAATTAAACTCTGTGCCTGTCCACTTCGGTGATTAACGCTTCGGCCTCGTGGCGTGTCTATGTCTCATTTGTGCCAGACCAGGACTGACCGGAAGAAGCTGGCAAGGCTCCGGAAGGCGAAGCCAATCAAGCACCACTTTATGAGGGGCACTGATCCATCCATCGTAAAATTTACATGAGGGTAATTTCCCAGGTAATTTGCCCTGCGGGCTATGTCATTGAGAATGGAAAAGTCTCCGGATATTATTTGCCAGAAATGTGAGATGTGTGAGAGGGGAAAAAAAAAAACGCTCGAGCTTCTGGAAGTGAAACAAAGCTGGAAGGAGGAAGGAGAGGGACGAGCAGACGAGGAAAGGAGGTAAATGATGGTGTTTGTTTGTTTTGCGCGAATCCCTTGCGGGCCAAGTTCCACCAACAAACTTCTCTTTCTAACTCTTTTTCCCTTCCATCACAACAACATCCTCCCTTCTCCGTTCTCGGGGTTCCTCCGTTGTTCCTGACTTGGTCTGACATAAGGTTATGATTGTTTCACATGTCCCACGGCTTCGCCGGCTTAGAGCTGAGACCCTCTTCTGAGTCAAATGGTACCATTTTGCCGATATCGTGGCTAGTTCTCTTACTTTTACGCTCTGGATTATGGTACCGTTGGCATTAGTTTGATCTATTCCGTACTAATAACAAGCCTAGTTTTAGGCGGATATACACTGTTACCCACAGGTAGCATTTAGTAAATACCGCCTCCCAGTACTCTTAGGCTCCCACGCTCAGAGCCTTGATTCGATGTCTCTCCTAAAATTGCTAGGCTGTTAGCGCCCTGGCAGATGAACCCCCGCTCATCCCTCGTATCTGCGGTCTCAATTTATCTCATTTTCTGAGTGGCCCACGCCTCCCGAGTATCTTTGAGCATATCCACGATGGAGGGGAGCGATCCAAGCGGACTAACAGCGGACTAAACCGCCGTGTAAGCCAGTCAGAGAGTCATGCTGGCTTGAGGTGACATCGCCTATTCATTTTGCAAGGTTTAGTCGGGGAAGGGTAGGCCCCATACATTCCACCGTTCTCAAAGTTTACCAGACATCTCTTAGACTAACCATGCAATAGTAGGTAACTAGCAGTAGTCTTGAACGCTGTTCCTGAGCAAGTTCCCAATCAGCAATTTGAGAGAAAGAATAATTTCCCTTGACCCACCGGGAAATGAGCCGCAGATTTGGCGATGTTGGGCTTGGAGCCTGGTAGGTTGTAGTGAATGTCATCCCCTCCATAGGGGGGAATTGAGAGAGGGGGGCTGTGAAGGGACTTGTCCTACGCCTGTCACATCCCCATCATTCATATACTTGAATGTTCCTTTCCCCCCCTCCTCCTTCTCTTTCTCTCCTTCCCTTCTCACGATTTGACGTCCCTCGCATTTTCGCCCTCTCCCACGGTAGTCACTCCTTTGCACTACATACACGAAGTTTTACTTCCAGTCACTCTTTGGATTACACTCTCCAATATCCCTACCTACTATCATTCTTTACATCACACACAAGACACGAAAGTGAAATCGAAAAAATGCGTTTCTTCACCACTGCCCTCGTCTCTGCCCTTGCGGCCCTGGCCTCTGCCTACACTCAGCCCGACTACTCTCAGAGCCCCACCGGCAATGCCATCCTCACTCCCGAACTGAACCAGATTGTTCCTGCTGGCAAGCCCTTCGAGATCACCTGGGACCCTACTACCTCGGGTAGCGTGTCTCTGGTCCTTCTCCGCGGCCCCAGCACCAACGTTGTCCCCCTCGAGACCATCGTCGAAGACATCGGCAACTCTGGCAGTTACTCTTGGACTCCCAGCACCACCCTCGAGCCTGACACCACCCACTACGGCATCCTTCTCGTTGTCGAGGGCACTGGCCAGTACCAGTACTCCGTCCAGTTCGGCATCTCCAACCCTGCCTACTCTTCTTCTTCCTCTGTTGCCGCTGCTACTAGCACCACTGCCGCCGCTGCTGTGAGCTCTGATGCTTCCGAGACCAGCGTCATCATCAGCAAGATCACCAGCACTATCTGCCCTGAGACTGCCACGGCCACTGCCGATGTCAAGCCCACTTTCACCTCCGTCCCTGTGATCGGTGGCAACAAGCCCTCCAGCTTCGTCGTTGCTCCCACTGCCTCCGGCTCTGCCAGCCTCATCCGCAGCTCTGCCACTCCCTCCGGCACCCCTGCTGCCAGCAGCTCTTCCGTCTCCCCTGTCTTCACCGGTGCTGCTGACCGCAACGCCATCAGCCTCGGCGCCGTCGCCGTCGGTGTCGCTGCCGTCCTTGCTTTCTAAGCGGAGCAGCAATCCAGCATTCTTAGGGAATTTGTAAAGTGATGGAGGTTTGTACCTAGCTGAGACAGTTGTATGTACAAGAACGCGCAAGAGCGCGAGTGAGTTGTTGAGAGTATTTACGTTTGCAGCGATTCGATTCGATTCGTCGACTCTTTACTTATGACAATATACCCCCATAGTTAATGAGCAAGGGTAATAATAAGAGCATTGTATTATACCAGAGCTGCAATAATCATGAACATCTACTAGTATATCGTAAATCAGCCTTAGAAGGCTTTCCACACAGTAACGTAGGATAGACAATCTACACAGTAAGTAAATGATCTCCCACTAATGTTTCATCTAAATGGACCGAACCCCCATCGATCCTATCAATGACCGATAATCTAAGATGCCAATTTCCCTTCCATCCATCCCTTCATCTTCAAAGCTAATCTAAATCTCCGCCCTATTAATTCTTTGTTACGTATGTATCCATACCAACGGCTTACACCGCATCCCCATCTCAAACTGAAACTTGCAAAGAATCCGACCCCATCCCATGCCGCCCCCCTTTCCTTTCCCATACCAACAGAAGACAAAACAAGATCCAACAATCCAACATGCACATGCAGATCATAACACTATCAACATAACTCTTGTTATAAACTATACGGAACAAATATAGCTATACTTCTGTCATAATTGACACCATAAATTATCCCCAAAGCTTAGCTCAATTAACTAATAACTATGCACTCCGTCCATAGTAAGCTAGATCTAGTCACGTGATATATCGATAAGCAACCTAACCCCCCAGCAACCACAACTCCGCCCGCCTCCTCCCCCGATAAGCAATTTTCATTTTCTCCGACGACCCGACTGCGACCACACACCTCAAACATATATACAACCATCGCTGCGGGCAGCTACCTACTTTTCCTATTCACCTTTACATCTACACCAAGAAAAAAGAATCATAATATAAATCGCAACAACCATGGTCCAAGGATCCCTCAAGAAGAAGCCCGCGGGCAACAGTGGGAATCTTGTGAAGCGGTATGTCGATACCTATTTACTTACTCATCCATTCATCCAATTATCTTTCTATGAATGAGATATAAGGGATATCTGAATATATACATACAACACAAGAAGCGAGCTAATCTCTGAAAATCGTGTGCAGTCCCTCAGCCCTCGGGCCCAAGCGCGGACCGAGACAAATCGCACCTAAGAAGACGACGTTGGTTAAGCAGCAGAAGTTGACTAAGGTATTTTCTTTCCATTATTCTCTTGGTGGTTAGTATTTGTGGTTTAGTAATGCTAATCATGGGGCTATGTGTGTAGAAACTCACGGCGGGATTGGTGGCCCGGACGGAGAAGAATCTTGCAGAGAAGGCGGGACATTTGGAGTTGTTGGCGGGAGGAAAGAAGGATAAGAAGAAGGATACTAAGGGAAATGTGAAGAAATAGAGAAGGGGGGTACAATTATGGATTCTGTGATTAAATAGAGGGAAGGAGGTGTTGCGATTGCTGTTGCTATTACTTCATTCTGTTCAGTATATGATTAATGAACATACGATACCCTTTTACACATTACTGCAAAAGTTTCTTGCTTGTCTATATTTGAAAGTAGAACCGAAATTGAATGTAAAATGAAATCTAAAACTATGTATGAGAAAGATGACATATACACAGCCCAAATAATAATTATATCCACGAAAATTAGCACGGATCATCACTCATAATAACGCAAAAGTAGAGGAGACGAGACAAAAGTTACATCGCTTCAAAGGGTATCTCAAATTCAGTATCATTCCATCCGCCGTCTTTTTTGTGTTGTTTTCTCCAGGTCGACTCGTCTAGGCGTTCTTGCCTAGCTTCGCAACACAGGTCGGGGCACCGGACTGCTCGACCAGCTCTTGGCCGCGATCAATCCACCTCCGGAATCCCTCGTCGGTAGGGTCGACTGGGAAGTCATCCCACACGGCATTCTCGGCATCGGCATATGTGTTCCAGATGCCCTTGGGAACATCGGCGGCGCACCAGGAAGGAAGCTTGGCCAGAACGCAGGTGTAGTAGACGTAGAGAATCCGGCAGAGTAGGTCAACCCGATCCACGTAATGTTGCTTACTGGGGTCGGGTTCGCGACCGCCGTCACCGAGACGCCGCCACCAGGAGACTCGCCAGCGGAGGGTAAGCAGGATATGGCCGAGCTCGCTCAGGAAACGCAGGTGGGTTTCTTGAGAGATCTGCTTCCACTTGATGTTGTAGAAGTCGCGTTCCAGCTTTCGGAATCCCTCTACCTCGAGCATGCGGCAGATGATGCGAGACAACTGTGCTGCAAGGAGAATTTCGCGACGGTCCTCAGGGTTGTTGATGTCCATGGTTCTTTCCTGGCCTCCGGCTTGAAGAGGAACGAAGCTGTAGCTAGCACGGCTAGGCATGTTGTTCCATTGCGAGAGTAAGGACTGTTAAAGTCAGTAATTGTTCGCATTAAGTAGACGTCAATGATCACTTACATAAACGTTGTTCATCGGGTCGCAGTCTTTCACGCATGTGAGCCAGTTCTTGGACTTGTCCTTCGATTCGACAATGCGCCGATCAATGAAGTCGAGAAAGTTGGACTTTGAGTTGCCATTGTACTCGCTGAGTCCGCGGAGGAACTTGTAGGTCTCCCCGAGGTCAAGGACATAGAGGGATCCCCAGGATTGCTTGGCACGGATGTTGAATCGACCTTGTCGCTCACCGAGGAATGTGATCAGATCATTGAGGTCGAACTCAGAAGGAATGTCCATCCGGATGCGTCTAGCACCATCTGTGGTAGGATGGTTGATGGCTCGTTGAGCTGGGTGTTCGTTAGCAACGAGGACCAATACAAGTGGCGTAGAGATCGCAACATACAAACATAGTTACATGTACCGTACTCGACGATGTTGGCAAAGCAGGCGCGTGCGCATGGCTGCTCGTGGAGCGTAGGGCGGCAAGCATCGCACGGGGCGTTGCCATCACACTTGCAATTTCGTTAGATGCAAATCTTGAATTAGATCGGCTGAGTGCATACCTTGCGCTTGTTCAGTCGACACTGGACACACGTGTCCTTGTTCTTTCGTCGTAGTCCAGCATTAGCCCTGCCGACCATGCTCAGAGGGCCCTTGCGGCGCGCTCCCCGTGGTGGTGATATGAAATCTGCCGAAGCAATAGATCCTCCTTGGCCGTCTTCCTGCACGATCTGCAAAGGCTTGGGCAGGTTCTGGTCCAGATGCACGCTTGAGTTACGTTGCTTGCGCTTTCTGACCGTGGCCACTGTCTGTAGTGCAAGAGCTTGTGGCCGAGCGGGCGCCCTCTGCGCAGATGACGAGGCTCTGGGTCTTGCAGAGACTGGCGTGAAGTAGGCCTCCGATGGGTCTTCACTGACCATGAAGGCGGTCGCATTTTGTAGGGGTTGAGAGGTCTCCGAAGAAGTGCACTCCTTCTGTGTATCTTTCCAGAGTCCATTGTCTTCGAGTTGGCGATCGGCAAAAGCGGGGATCTCATCGTTGCTAGCGGGGTATGGTTCGTAGACGCTGGGAAAATCTCCAGAAACCGAAGAACTCTCCGATTTGTATTGCAAGCCGTCATGCTGAGTTCTCTCCTCCTTGAAGAATGTCGCGTCCTGGGGGATCGACAAGGATGCAGGCGATGTCATGTTGGAAGACAGCTGAGACTCCAGACCTTCAAGCCAGCGAGAATCCAGTGATCGCATCGAACCCTGGTAGTCGCGGATGTGTCCTGGACGTTTGGCAGCTGATTGCAGACCCATCGACAGAGATACTGGGGTCTGATTAGGCAGGTTGTCCGTGGGAGCGGGCGCAGTCGGTGCCGTCCAAGTCTCAGCGGTCGAGAAGGGGAATGCCTGGGGAATATTCTGGAAGGAGAGGAACGGATCGGGAGGAAGATCGGACAAGCCCTGTCCCTGCGGCAACTCTCCGGTATCCTCTACAATAACCGTGTTGGTGGAGGCAGGCTCCTTAGCATACGGGTACATAAGGGGAGCCTCCATGGGAAGGCCAGCCGTCATGGCGTTGAACAGTTGAAATGGCGGCCATGACTCATCCAGCTGGAAATTGTCGTCGGCGGAAGAGGGCAGCGTCCTCGGGCTGATCGTACCACTCACGGTGCCTTCGATAGGACCGTCGTTGATGCTGAACTTTCCGGGGGAAGTGGCACCATGTTTGCTGCTGCACGGGGAGGGGTACCTGTCAGCGGGAAGCTCCAAGGTTTAGGGAAGATGAGACGAATCGCACCTGCTCTCACTACCTCGATAATCGCCAGCATGACCTACCACCGGGACGGTGGATTGGTCCCGCGACAGCGGACCACGAAGGTTGCTCAGATCCACGACATCCGCATCGCCTGGACTCGAGTCCTGGCTCGCATCCCACTCCAACGGTTGGTCGTAAGCGGAATAGATCGGAAAAGTATCTGATTGCCAGTTATCTAGAATTTTGGGGTCGATGCCCGCAGCCGTGCCAGTCGTCCCGCAGTCCATACAGGGGGCCAGATGGAAGGGGGATGGTGATGTAAGAAAGACCTTTTGTGAGAAGCCGGAGCAGGTCTTTGGCGCGTTCCTGAGTCTGTTGGGAACCGAAGCGGGCGGTGGGTTTTGGGTGGGTTTTGGCGGAGGTTCGGAGTTATGTAGTAGTTGGTGGTGGTGGTGGTGATCGGGAAGAGGGGGAAGGACCGCTAGATATATAAATGGAGATGATGAGCGTAAAGGCGATGATGAAAGTGATGCACGAAGCAGGAGTGAAAGGGAGAAGATGGATAGTTTAGTCAGTGCTGAACTGACGAAGCGAGCAGAAAATCGGCGTCCGTGGCTGACTGACTTGGACCGACTGGGTTGGCGCTGCTTGGTCTTCCCCACCAAATATTTTGCGACGATCGGCCTCCGAGGTGCTGCTTGCATTAAACATACTTGGATTTATTCTACTAATTCTACTAATTCCTCTTGATAAGTTCCGCACTGACCAGGTCCGCAATACGCACGAGCTGGGTTCCTCCTCCACGGCCTCGTTCATCGATGGCAGCTGCCTGCCACTTGACTTGTTCTATCACATATCATAATTAATCTTAATCTATCTTGCAGCTGGTCCAGCGTCTATCCCTGACCATGATGAGGGGATCACACACACACCCCCCTACTACGTACACCTCTCTATCTATTCATGTCCGTCGGAGTTTGATCCTCAGGGGTCCTCCCTACAAACCAACGCGGTACAAAGAGGGGTCAAGCCGTGGATCGTCCCCTCGCGCCTGAAACTACTGCAACCTACGATGAACAAGGAGGACCGACGGACACAACGACCACTTGCAGCCATTCAGCCAGTGCAAGGTGCATACACTCACACACACACTAACACACTACTGACCACCCCAATCCTGGTTGGTGAGTGATAGCGTTTATGGCCCAACATGACAGTCGAGGATTACGCGAGAAAATCATTTCCGTTGAAACCGACTACGGGGGGCTGTCCTCCGCGGATGGATCGATATTATTGCTAGAAAAGGTCGGTCCAGGTGCCGGTGGTCAGAGGGGGCTGTTTGACTCGCGGCTACCACGGAGTAACCACAACGCCATGGAGCAAAGCGTGGATAGAACAGACCCGCCGAGAGGAATGATTGGCAACTTGGCGCCGGTGGGATGGGACCGTGGTTGCTTTTGCAACTAAGAATAAGGCGCTCCTGAGCAATCAGCGTGTGTGGTCCTGCGGCCTAGCACAGTAGTCCTGATTCTTATTCTAGAAGCCTGTCCATGGCTGGTTGGGAAGTGGTGGACGTGGGTTTGCATTTCCCGTTCAGGATTCGCATATAAAAATTCATAGTGTGGCCCCATCAGGGTCTGGAAAGAAAAGAAAAATTTTTAAAAGACAAAGAGCAAAGAAAACCTAAACAACCAACAATAATCACTAATAATCAGTAGGGCACGGGACCACTCTAAGCCTGCAATAGCCGCACACACCCGTGTGCCATTCTGGACTTTTGTGTGGATAGATAGTTAGTATTACTAGATGGGTGTCGTGATAATTGTTCTACCGATTATTCATGAGTGATGTGCAATAATTCATCAATCAGTATGATCATCTTACCTAAGAATATGCATACACACATGACCTCTCTTACCCCGAAGAGTTCAAAACCCTCCGTAGATAAGCCAACAGCACCACATGGTACAATGATGCCAGGATCTATGTAAATATGTGTGTGTCTTAATGTCCCCTACGTGAAGAAGTATGCAGACACTAGGGGTCTTCAGTGCATATGTACGGAAGAGTAGCATTCCCTTGGTATCCCAACTGATTGGTGACCCCAATCTCCCTATCGGATTTACCTGGTCTTCTGCCGTCTACCTTATTGTAGTCTAATCTAGGATATCTGAGGCAATCGTTGTGTTGCATTGAACGTGCGCCGCCTGATGATGCTCTTGTTTCCTTTCTTTTTTTTTTTTTTCCTCTCCCCCCCTTCTTTGCTTTTTGCGCCGAGCCCCATAGTCAGTCACCT